TCCCCAGGTCCTCTTTCCTCCCCTTTTTGAAGATGGGAACCACATTGGCCTTCTTCCAGTCCTCCGGCACCTCTCCAGAGCACCACGAGTGTTCATAAAGTCGTGCCAGGGGACTTGCAATGACCCCAGCGAGTTCCTTCAGGACTCTAGGGTGAAGATCATCCGGGCCGGCTGACTTAAAAACGTCCAGCCCTTCCAGAAGCACTGTTCTCATGAAAATCGTGCCAACTGCTCTTAAGTGTCAAGCTCACTTACAACTTAGCCCTGATTCTTTTGAGTTGTGAAAACCACAGGGGATTTATTCGTGATGGTGAAGGGCTTAACTTAATTATGGCTTATGCACTGGAGGCACACTGAGGGATCTCCTGGTGTTACACACATGCTTATCCCCAGTAAATGCATGAGCAGGACTTTCTTTCAGTTTTCAAATATCCCTTTGTCTGCTGGAAGCTTTCTTTCCTGCTTTCCTTTTGTTTCTTGATTTTTAAAATAATTGGTTTTTCTTTGTAACACTGTCATGAAGAACTGCAAACTGACTTAATTCTGTATGGGAAGGAGGGTAATACAAAAGCTGTTGGTCACCAGTCCATGGGGCTTCAAATAATGATTGTAAATGAAGGACACCCAGTGGTAAAAGAGCCTTCACTGCTTAAAAATCAGTGCTTTCTACTTCTGTGTAACTGTGCATGTGAGAGAGAACTATTGGGATCGGGGAACACTTTGTCTATAATGCACCGAATCTCCGCAGTGTCAAGATGAAGCTTCCTGAGGTCAGCCCCTTACTTGGTCTAAGCAGAACTGGTTTTACCACACTTACCAGTAAATCTGAAAACTAAACAAGTGGGGTGTCTGATACCCTTGGCATCCTTCATAGAGCCCTGAGTAGCCCCCCTCTTTAAAACCTAGCATCAGGATGCATGCACATTATCTACTTTAAAGGGGCAGGGGGAACTGCTGCTTGTGAGCACACATCAGCTGTTACTTGTGTCACTACAGGATCAAACAGCTAAATTGTGAGTTAAAGTGCTTTAAATTTGACCCTGAATGAAGTGGGGGTAAAGGGGTAAGGAGCAGTCTTGCTACACTTAACATCACTACAGAATCGCACAGCATTACCAGTCTATTACATCTGTCTGTCCCCTAAAGTAGTCGTTGGGTAGGAATACCTGAGCCTACCTTCCAAAGATGGCTGGAGCATCTACTTGGAGGATGCCCTATTACCCAGAGTGTTTTGAATGACTGGCAGACTCCAGCAGAAGACTGATGCTTGATATTGTAGCCGAACCTTGAATTCAGATTTTCTCTCATTGTTGGAGGCCTTGTAATCCTCTCGGCGCTCATCTGCAGTCAGGGTTGCTTGACAGTAATATGTCACTTGAGAATCGGATGTCGGTGCAAGCTGTTGAGAATCTCTCCTTAATCATTGGCTTTGAACAGCCCGGAGCACTGCTGAGTTGAGTTCGTGCTAGCTGATTACTGTCAGACTTCTACGTTTGAAATTCAGGATTGAGCTTTTTGGGTATACAGGCTTCTGAATTGCTGGCTTCTGTATGAGACAAAGTAAGACGGCATAGGAGTGCAACTTGGATGCACTAGGATCTAGGCAACGCAGTGTTCTGATCTCTGAAATGGGTCTTTTTTGTTCCTAGGTATTTAGCGAAGAATTCGTCAACATTGTTTAGCGCCAGTGACTATGAAGTAGCCCCACCTGAATACCATCGGAAAGCAGTATAACGCCATGCTGGCTTAACGCAGTAACCATTAGGTCTCTAACTGTACTGTCTCCTGCCACACTTTGTTCTTCTTTTTTCTATTGCACATGTCCCTGCTGCACAGATTATATAAATTTGAGTGAATAACGTGCGTGTGTTTTTGTGTGTCTGTGTGAAACAAACTGACACTTGTGAGTTTTACCGTGTTCTTCTGTCCGTTCTGAAACGAGCTTGGAGACAGCTTCAAGAATCTGTCGGTGATCGTCTGCGCATCTGTTGAATGCAAAAAAAATGCAAGTGGGGTATTTTTTTGTCTGAGCTGCTTAATGCTCGTGTTTTGACACCCAAGACTTACCTAACTAATCTGCATCCTTACTTAGTGATGGTAAGCCCCAACTCGCTGGGGGTGAGATGCTACTAAGTCTGACTTCCGAGCCCATTTCCTTCCCCAGTGTCTGAAGTGAAACAATTGTTGGTCCATAAATTTTATTCCTAGCCTAGGTGGCTGAAGGATTGTGACTTTTTTTGTATTCTAACATAATGGCAAATGAACTAATGAATTGTTGTATCTTGAGTGTTCTGGAAATGTTTTGTCTTTCAAAGAACTGTTTTACAAATCTTCAAATAAATTTTTTTTTTAATTTCAAATGTGTTTAAATTTTTATTTAATGATTTGCCTAATTGGAGTCTGTTTTTAGAAGAAAAAAAAGTCAAGTGCTCAGAAGTGGTAATCAAATCACTGTTATAGTCGTGGTTTTCAGCATGCTAAATCTGTAGAAAGCATAGTTTGTGACTGAAGTTGAAACAGGTTTGCAGCTGTTGTGTTTAACTTGTTTTAGTCCTCTGTAGTCATAACTGAAAGCAGTTGGAATTATGCATCATTTCGTGCATTTATTTATGAAAGCCAGTTATCTGCTGTTCCTCAATGTTTTTCTGAAAGTCCCTGAGAGAGTTTTGGAAGACTTTGGTCAGTAGCCAGTTAGACTGAGGTGGTGAACAGAGAACCCCATTTGGGATCAATGGCTTTTTCAGAAGTGATAGGAGGCCCCTTAGTGCTATAAACAGCACTCTCCACTAGTAAATGAGCATCATGCACTTGAACTTGCTATCTTTTAATGCAGCAGATTTCTTCCTTTTGGTAGTGAATAATTCAGTGCCTAGCTACTGATAAGGCAACTCTGATGCACTTGGCTTTTATATCTACCTACCCAGAGTGGGAATAGATTATAGGCAAATCCATGGGTGGACAACGGTGTATGTTTATGGCTCTAATTATCACAACAGCCCTCAATTCTTGAATAACAGTAGTTTCAGGTGGTGTGCATGAAGTCACAGTTTGTTTTACACAAGATACTACTCTTCTGCCTCTTTTACATGTTTCTTCTGGGTCCAAATTCTGACTAAAATTAACACTGACATGTATTTAAGAAACTCAGGTCCAAGACAACTTCTTGGTGCTTGTGACGGATTTGGATCAATCCTGTTGGAAGCTGCACAGAATCACAGACAGTTGGGGTGGAAGGGACCTTAGGAGGTCACGTCTAGTCCAGCCTGGGCTACATCATCCCAGCCAAGGCTTTGTCCACCCAGATCTTAGAAACCTCCAAGGATGGAGACTGCACCACGTCTCTGGGTAACTTGTTCCAGTGCTGTACTACCCTCCTCATGAGAGAGTTTTTCCTAATATCCAACCTCAACTTCCCTTGCTGCAGCTTGAGCCCATTGCTCCTTGTCCTGTCATCTGCCCCCACTGAGACCAGTCCATCCTCTTTCCAGCCCCCCTGCAGGGAGGTGAAGGCTGCTATTCAATCCCCCTTGGTCTTCTCTTCTGCAAACTAAATCATAGATTCAAGGGTTGGAAGGGACCCTCAGTGGGCCATCTAGTCCAACCCCCTGCCCCTGGCAGGCAAGAAAAGGGTCACCAAACCTGGGATCATGTGATCCTAGCCAGGTGCCTGTCCAGTCTCCACAATACAGTTCTCTGGTCTTGACTTGGATCAATCAGAGCAGCCTCAAATGCAATGTCTGTTTTTAACCCTTGGTACGTAGCACCAAGAAAAGCTGCAGTGAGTTGAAGGGGTGTGGGTTGTAGCCGGGTTGGTCTAAGGACATGGGCAAACAAGGTTATTTGGGTAAATGGGCCTGAAGTTTAACATCTTGTTTGCAGTTACTGAAGCAAATGTTGAAGGCTTTGGCCACAGGAGGGCACCACATATTGCAAAAGCACGTTGCACGTCCCTGGCGTGGTGCATGCTGTAGGACTTGGCTGGTACTTCAGTTTGGAGGCGGGGGTGGGAGATGCAGGTGCATTGATCCTATTGCAAATCCCCTAGACCCAGTGGACTCTGCGAAGCTGCCAGGAGAGTGCTGCGGTGATTTACCTCTCAGCCAGGCTGTGCTGCTGCTGGTGGGAGGCGAAGGGCTTTGGGGTGAAGCTGAATGCAGCAGCAGGAGGGGCAGAAAAGACCGGCCCTCGGAGGTGGTGCCTTTCTCCCTGTAGCAGGACCCACACTGAGAAGAGCATCCAGTCCTGCTGCCCCTCACGGGCTGCCTGCCAGCCCCACAGGTCCCCTCTGCTGAATGACCCCACGCTGCAGCCCAGCCCCTGCCTGGCTGGAGATGCCAATCCTGCCCTGATCAGGGGACTGGGCTAGATGACCTTGAGGTCCCTTCCAGCCCTCCTTTCCTATAATCCTAGAAAACAAGGGTTGGAGGGGACCTCCAGTGGTCACATGTAGTCCAGCCCCCTGCTCCTAGCAGGACCAGCCCCAACTGGGATGATGACCCCAGACAAGGCTTTGTCTACCCAGGTTTTGAAAACCTCCAAGGATGGAGAGTCCACCACCTCTTTGGGTGACCTGTTCTAGTGCTGTACTACCCTCCTTGTGAGTTTTTCCTAATTTCCAGACTTAACTTCCCTTGCTGCAGCTTGAGCCCATTGCTCCTTGTCCTGTCGTCTGCTCCCGCTAAGAACAGCCCAGCTCCATCCTCTTTGCAACCCCCTGCAGGGAGTTGAAGGCTATTCAATCCACCCTCGGTCTTCTCCTCTGCAGACTAAATAAGTTCAGTTCCCTTAGTTTTTCCTCACAAGTCATGTCCCCCAGCCCCTCACCACTTTTGTTGCCTTTGGCTCCCTGTGTGCCCAAGCTCAGGAGAGGACAAACCCTGCAGAGAGCACCGGGAAGTGCCTCCCTCCCTCAGTCTAACTGGGAGAGTGAACTCAAATGTGGGGTGTGTTTCTGTGCTGAGGCTTGGCTTCCTGTTTCCTTCCTCCTCCACCTCTTCCTGAACGCACTCATCCCACCGCTGTCGCCTGCAAACCCAGCGCAGCGCCACATGCTCCTGCCTGGTAATAGCTCTACTGCAGATGGGCAACGCAGCTCGGGCCTTTCCGACCAATGGGGTGTCTGAGGATGCCCGTGAAAGTCCATGCTTGTGCTCCTGGGTCTGGCAAGTGCTTTTGCAAATCCCAGTCCTAGCAGTGCCTTGAGTCGGTCATGTCAAACGGAGCGTGTGTGTGTGTGTGTGTGTGTGTGACGTGCACACCACAATGGTGGCATCGATGCGCGAGGCACCAAGATGGCGAGCCATGCCCTTCTTTCCTGCAGCCATCACAGAAGGGTACGACAAACGCTGCCATACCACTACTTTCGTTATCAGAGCGTCACCAACATAGGTGAGGCCAGCTAGTCTGCAATGCCAAATCAGGCCGGGACACAGACCATGAGACATGATAGGTGGAAACAGCCAGCTCACCATTGAGCGCGTCACCTGAGCGACTTATAAGGGAGCGCACAGCCGCACCCAGGCGAGGTCGTTCATCACCCGCTTCGAGTATCACAAGGGACGCTAGCCTGATCACCGAGCTTCCGCCTCCCGTTCGCGATTAGCAACCGCTGAACGCCGCTTCGTTGCCGGCCCCGACAGGATTAGCAGTCTACTTCTCTGCATCTCGTTTCTCTCCTCAACGCTCACTGTGAGTAAATAAACTTCTATCTTCAACTCCTCTCTGTCTCCGTGACTATCACCTCGCCTCCAGTCTCTTCGGGCAACGTGAGCTGGACTCGCGTTAACTGTCCCATAGGGAGCTAATCAGCCCTTCTAACCCCGCCGCTCCGGTCCCTTGTGCTGCGAGCGGGCAGCAGCGCAACGTGGCATCATGAACAGGATTCACGGATCCGCTGGTCGCTGTCTGCCCCCTTTCGTCGGGGCTGCCGTGCCACCGATGACGAGACACAACTTTGGGCGCATACGAGTTACCACTCTGCAAGGCCGGCCCCAAAAGACTGCCGAGGGCACTTGTCTCTAAAGAAGGGTCGAAAGGAATGGGCCTTCGAGGGGTCACCAGCTGCTCTCGGCTGCCTGCTCTCAGACCCCAAAACCCTGTTCTGCCCAAATGATGAGGGGCACACTGTGTCCTTGAAGAAAGTTAAGGGGTATGGGACGGGAGACCCCACCCCTGCACAGACCTGGGCCAGAGGTCTGCGACATCTAAAACATCTAGGAGCTCCCATACCGGTCAATTTCCGTTTCCTGCCTGTAAAAGAAGGCTGAAGGGGGCACGAAATGGCCGGGGATCTCATCAGTGACCTGGAGACGCACGGAAAAGTCACGCACAAATGGACGTAAGTGTCTGGGTATCCTCTACCAACACTTTGTAAATGCCGTGCGCTCATACTCCGATCTTGAGTTGGAGTTTTGTGCGGCGGTACAGCAAGTCGCGGATACAGAAAAGAGGAAGTGCCTCCGACAAAGAAGGTGCAGCCACCCAAGGCCGCGCCTCCTGCGCCGTCCGCCCCACCTCCACCATACGGGGTCCAGGGCGTAGAGCCATCAAAAGGGGCTCCGCCTAGCCTCTACCCGGAGCTACCTCCCCCGCCAGACTTGCCGCAACCCGTCACGGCCCTCCCGATGGGCACCACTATGGTCACGGTCAGGTTAGACGGGCACCCAGTGACGATGACCTCCTGGCAAAGCAGGTCCCGGGCAGAGATCCGTGACTTAATCACTTCCACTGCACGACGTCCAGGGGAACTGCCGCTAGTCTGGCTGGGCCGGGTAGTTATAGACTATGGTTACGACCGAGTCGATCTAGAAGAAACCACCGTGATGTTACGCAGTCCCATCTGGACGTCCGGACTGGGGGGATTATGTCAAACCTTAGGAGGCATCTACAACAACTCTGCCCCTCGCCTGTCCCTTAACCCACACAACGACTTTGCAGACTGTTGCCTGCGACTCCACGTCGACAGTTTCAACCTCACCGATGTTTTAGAGGGAACAGACGTCGCTCTCAACCTCACGCGCCAAGCTCGCAATGTAGGGTCAAACCTCGATTGGATGTTCGGCTGGCTCGACATGTTCGGCCTCGGACACTTGAAGAAACTAGCACTAACCGCCCTGATTATTTGCGTCATAGGTATGGCCCTTTGTTTTTTGCTCGGTTTTTTCTTACAATGGCTAAAGTCGTGCCTGATTCGCCTATCTGCTTTTGTATATACACGCTTACTCAGCGCTGACCAAAATAGCTATGAAGCCGTACAAGCGCCATATAACAAAAGTGAATATGATGCTATGGTGTAGACACAGTCAACCCTTGCTGCCTCGCGCAAGGGGGCATGTCACGCATGCCATAATGGTGGCATCGA